TGAAAGAAGAGCAAAACACTGCTCTGGAGGCTTTTCTCAGAGGAAAAGATGTTTTTGCTCTTCTCCCGACTGGTTTCGGCAAGAATTTGATCTATCAATTGGCTCCTCTTCGTCGTCGCTGTGTTAGTACGTCATATGCTTCGTTGATCTGATTGGTTTATTTGGCCCGTCTATCAGCAACATAGGCCAATCAGCTAACCAGTATTTTCGCCCCTTCCCAAAATTACTTCAACGGAAGGTTTCAAGATGGATATGCGGAGCAAATCCATCTGGCGGAGTCAGGTTACTGTGGAACTGAGCAGCATGCAGTACGGCACGCTTTAAATCATATGTTTTGGGATCAACCCAGTGTGCCATGAGGCTCAGTAGGGACATCAGGCAAACGTCTGCATTTCCAATATCAGTAGTGAAACTAGCAACAGCATTCAAGACTCTGTTACTTTACCTTTGCTCTACAGCTGTGGTATGGCTGCGTCGGTCGGTAATGTAGTGTCTCAAGGGCAGAGCGAAGTGTGGGTTCAAAACTTCCAGCTGCATATTTCTTTACTTTTTGAAATTTGAAGTTTATTTAAAGTACATTGGGTTTTTTTTTCTCCCAAACTTTTGTTCATCTAACCCTGTAATGCCAAATGTATCATATTTGATACATACGTTTTCTGAAATGTTTTGCGTCTGACACCTTTTCCATAATTTAATGGTAAAAACTTTGCTCAAAATCCTATTGTACACAATCAGATATACCTGATAACAGAGGGCAGAAGACTACACAAAAGATTATCTTGACTTATCGCATAGTAATAAATTATTAATATCAAAAATGTATTTCTGTTTTTTCTTTTTACATATTTTGTTGAAAGGCCAAATAAGGACTTCAAACCAAAAAAAGTAATTTTCTGTTTTGTTCTTGGATCGGGCTTTAAAGGGTTAAAATTGTTAATTTACAATGATTATCACTTTTTAGATTAAGTGACTAATTAAAAAAAAAAAAGATTATCTCATTCGATGTCTGAAATAACCAAAAGCTGCTTCCCTATTTATACGTTTTGGCAAGTACTGATTGTAGCTGCTTTGTATTTTATTCATTCCAATAAGTTAAATTCAGAAATAATTTAAAATCCAACATTTCTTGTCTTCTTTGTATATATATTATACTGCATTTTGTATATTGAATTATAGAAATATCTGTAAAGATTTGAAGAAATTATCTGAAGAATGTCTAGAAAACTTTTCTAGGCTTCCTACTGTAAAACGGTGGCAAGTAAATAATGTTTGGAGCAAAAACAATGTCACGCCTCGGTTATGAGACAACAGCGGCTTTGATTCTAAATCTGTTTTTTTTTTTGTCTCAAAATGAAGTGTGTCTAAAAAGCCATCAGTCTCCTTGAGTGCTGGCTGAAACATTATCAAACCCCACATTTCGTAACAGCTTCTTAGCTTGAGAAGCACGGTTGCTGAATAGGTTCAGCCTCCCTGTTATCTGCTAAAGTACACAACCTCTCACATTTTGATTGAGCATCAGAAAGATCCCAGGGAGGGGAAAAAAAGTTTCCTTTTAAGTATCTTCTTGCGTCACTGTGCTGCCTGACTTCTTATTTATCACAAAAAACTACTTTGGGGCTTTTCTCTGAAGAAGAGCTTCTACACATAAAAGGTTTGATAGGTATGGTGAATGGAAGGATCAAAATAATGATAAGATTTTTGATTTTCGACTCGGCGGTCTCCGGTCATGACCAAATCCATCTGAACTTTGGTGTTTTCTGGTTACTGGCTGGTACCAAAATTAGAAGAAAAGGCGAAACTTTAGGAAGCACCACTTTCTGTTCAATTTTATCTTGTCTGCTTTTTGAACCTAATTTGAATTTTGTTTCTTAAGCCGGGCTTACGCTGTGCAATATTAATTTTTTATTTTTTGCCCTTTATCTCTGTAGTTTGGTGTGTGTGTGTATTAGGGATGGGACGATTTATGAAAACTGTCCGAACCGTTCGGTTCGACTGTCTCGGTTCGATTCGCGTGTGTTTCGTTCGTTTCATGCGCTGCTCCATTTTCTCATAGGCGAAGTGTTTACACTCCAGAGCAGAAGGTGGCGGTACTGCGACCAAAGCCAACCACCAGTAGTAAACAAGAAGAAGAAGAAGCGAAGCAGCGTAGCCGGGTGAAGCAGAAAAAAAATCAGTTGTTGTGGAGAATTGTGTGGGTATGGCGAGTGGGAAAGAACAGGAGTTGGAAGACGCGCCAGCAGCACTTTATAGGTCTGCTGTATGGGACCACTTTGCATTTAGAGTGACCTACGATGACGGCGGAAAGAAAGTTGTGGATAAAAGTGCAACAGTGTGCAAGCATTGTGCAACACGTTTTGTTTATGCTAACAGCAACATGTCATGCTAACCTCGAAATCCCTCATACTCCGTCAGCAACCCCCGCTGCGCTCCAGACCGGCTGCTCAAAGCAAAGCCTACAGCCTCCACTGTGGCTTCGTCTGCTCCCCTCTGAGTTCCTTGGAGATGGTAGAGAGCATGTAACCTGACAACAGCCAGATGCATGAGACATGAGCGAGACATGCATCTGGCTGTTGTCAGGTTAGAGAGCATGCGCCAGATGATTAAATCCAAAGCAGCAAAACATACGGAAATGATCCAGGGTTTCCGCGGATCTTTTAAAATAATTACAATCCATTATTTTTGGGGGGATTTTTTTCATTAATTTCATAAATTTTTATGGGATTTCGGTGTAACAATCAACATGTATCGAACCGAACCGAAAACCGTGACCACGAAACCGGTATATCGAACCGAACCGTGGATTTTGTGAACCGTTCCACCCCTAATATATACACTATATTGCCAAAAGTATTTGCTCACCCATCCAAATTATTGGAATCAGGTGTTCCAATCACTTCCATGGCCACAGGTGTATAAATTCAAGCACCTAGGCATGCAGACTGTTTTTACAAACATTTGTGAAAGAATGGGTCGCTCTCAGGAGCTCAGTGAATTCCAGCGTGGAACTGTGATAGGATGCCACCTGTGCAACAAATCCAGTCGTGAAATTTCCTCGCTCCTAAATATTCCACAGTCAACTGTCAGCTGTATTATAAGAAAATGGAAGTGTTTGGGAACGACAGCAACTCAGCCACGAAGTGGTAGGCCACGTAAACTGACGGAGCGGGGTCAGCGGATGCTGAAGCGCATAGTGCGAAGAGGTCGCCAACTTTCTGCAGAGTCAATCACTACAGACCTCCAAACTTCATGTGGCCTTCAGATTAGCTCAAGAACAGTGCGCAGAGAGCTTCATGGAATGGGTTTCCATGGTCGAGCAGCTGCATCCAAGCCATACATCACCAAGTGCAATGCAAAGCGTCGGATGCGGTGGTGTAAAGCACGCCGCCACTGGACTCTAGAGCAGTGGAGACGCGTTCTCTGGAGTGACGAATCGCGCTTCTCCATCTGGCAATCTGATGGACGGGTCTGGGTTTGGCGGTTGCCAGGAGAACGGTACTTGTCTGACTGCATTGTGCCAAGTGTAAAGTTTGGTGGAGGGGGGATTATGGTGTGGGGTTGTTTTTCAGGAGCTGGGCTTGGCCCCTTAGTTCCAGTGAAAGGAACTCTGAATGCTTCAGCATACCAAGACATTTTGGACAATTCCATGCTCCCAACTTTGTGGGAACAGTTTGGAGCTGGCCCCTTCCTCTTCCAACATGACTGTGCACCAGTGCACAAAGCAAGGTCCATAAAGACATGGATGACAGAGTCTGGTGTGGATGAACTTGACTGGCCTGCACAGAGTCCTGACCTCAACCCGATAGAACACCTTTGGGATGAATTAGAGCGGAGACTGAGAGCCAGGCCTTCTCGTCCAACATCAGTGTGCGACCTCACAAATGCGCTTCTGGAAGAATGGTCAAAAATTCCCATAAACACACTCCTAAACCTTGTGGACAGCCTTCCCAGAAGAGTTGAAGCTGTTCTAGCTGCAAAGGGTGGACCGACGTCATATTGAACCCTATGGATTAGGAACGGGATGTCACTTAAGCTCATATGTGAGTCAAGGCAGGTGAGCAAATACTTTTGGCAATATAGTGTATATATATATATATATATATATATAAGGGGTGTAAATCGATTCAGTATCAATTTCCTGACCCAACAATTCGATTATTTTCGATACTCAAGAATACACCACGATACGATTCAATTTGATAAAAAACATTTTTCCTTACAGGTTAGACAATGTTTCAAATTTTATATACATCTATAAATGTTGTAATATTGTTATGCTTTTTATTTGAGAAATAACAATTGTAGCAAAGTTGTTTGAGGAGCAAAAGGAAAAAAAAAACATGAATCGATACTTTTGCAGACGTGTTGATACATCAGATCGTCGGCTGTTGGAATATATATATATAAATGTTTGTATATCTGAAGTGTGCAGCAAAAGTAATTTCCCTGTGGGATTATTAAAGTATTTCGGATTCTCCAGTCGTGCAAGACTTTTTTCGATCGGGCTGACTTTCATCCTGATTGTGCATCGTGTAGTTAGTGTTCAGGGGGTAACGAGAAGACCACCTCCCGATCAGGAATTGTGACCGTCGTGGGCAAATCACTTAGTGCGCAAAAAAAGGATTCTTCTTCGTCTTCTTCTTCCTCTCAGAGGAAAATTCAGAAGCATGGCGGGGGTGCGAGTCAAATGGAGTTCCTTCTGTAAAACTGACAGACCGTAGTAGCCACGTTTGCTCAGCCATGTCTTGCTCTAAATACGTCGTCGCCTTTTCTTTTTAGGGCTTTAAGCGCAAAATTGCTCAAATTGCCAAGGCAGCGCGTTTCACTCTAGTATTGCTCTTCTACTCGTTTGGCTTCCGGATAGACGAGTCCGAGTAGCGCCATCTCACTGCGGAGCCGAGTCCCACGTGGTTTTAACCAGAACCCAGTATGTGTTATATTAGCTTTGAAAGACTCTGGGTTGATTCAAGAATTAAATCCTTTGCTTTTTTGTCCTTTCTCAGGTTCAGTCCGTCTTTTTGGGATCCCGGACAGGAGTCTTACGCCACGTTCTAGAAGACCAAGCAGCTGCAGGACAGAACACTGGAGGAAGAAGTCCTGTTTCTTTCCTGAGACATATGGCAGGACATCAGAGTGTAGATCTAGATTTTGTTCTAGCAAAGGGTCAGAGGTAAACCTCTGAATGTTTTTTTTTTTTTTATCTGAGGGTTTTTATTCTCTTGTAATGCTGGATCGCCCTGTCTAAGCCTTAAAGGTGCTTTTTCTGGTCCACATGTCATCCTTTGGCTAGCTACTTTTGGTTTCACATCAGTCGACCATCTTCCTTTTCCACCTCTGGCCCCTACAAGGGGGACAGAAACTCCCTAATTGTATGTCCTCCCCTTTTCCTGCTCAGTTATATTGAAAATTCATGTCTCTTTTTTTAACCTCATTGTTTCTTTACATCTTTATTAGCATTTAGGACATGGGCTTGAACTCTAATCTGTTTAATTTCTGTTGAAATACCTCCCATCTATCCCATCATAGCAACAGCCAGCTCTCCTCGCCCTCTTTTAGAGCCTAAAGTGATTCCCCTCTGAACATCAAGCCGCTAGGCCGTTGTTTTGGTTGTTTTGGTGCATGGAATCAGCCTAATCGTGGAGAGGCCAGGCTACCACAAACTGATGGACTTTGACAAGCGGGGAGGGGGTGGCGGAGGAGGAGGAGGAGCAGGTGGAGGCAAGGGGGAGGCGGAGGATGGGAAAAGGATGTCTGGGAAGGCAGGAGGAAGATCAGGACATAGCGGCCGGAGTGCCGGCTCCGGCTCAGGAGTTCTGATGGTTGGACCAAACTTCCGGGTCGGGAAGAAGATCGGCTGCGGGAACTTTGGAGAACTACGACTCGGAAAGAACTTGTACACCAATGAATACGTGGCCATCAAACTGGTAAGAGTCCTCTTATTATCTGTGGGTATAATGATGATTGTACAGCCCAGACACAGTTATTTTATGATGTAGACATGAAATAAATTCTATACTAAATACTTCATCTGACCTCCACGGCTCGTTATACGACTAAGTCAGGCCGAGTGATTTGATAGTAACTATAAACAAAAGATTTACCGGTAATGTTCTGATTCTTGGTAGGGCCAAGATATTCATCCTGTCTCCTAGCTTTTCCCTTTATTAAAAATAACAAAAAACTTTTTTGAATGCATGTTTGCTCACTTGTTAATCAGCCTTGATCAGTCCGATTGGGCTCTTTTGAGGAGTCTGTATTTATTAGTTTTAATTTTTCCAGGAAAAAAAGTTTTTAAAGTATCCCAACAAACCTTCCTTTTAAAGGAAAAGTCTGGTCAGCAAGAAATAATCGATGGATCATTATTTATACCTAAAACTAATATGTTCTGGGTGATTTAATGAACTTCGAGTTAATCAGTAAGCGCCATTCTCCCCGCTTTACAAGCAAAATCAATGGGAACTACTAGACACATCTGCAATCAACAACAATTATTGAAGATTTCCAGAGGACTTCACCATTGAAATTCACCAGAGCTATAGTGAAACTGACAATGCCCACGTGCATGGCAGCTGGATGCTGGAATACATCGGGTAAAAGTGAAAAGACGGGTTTGTCGTTGGATCGCCAACTTGAAGAGGGAGGATTTGCCATCGAACTTCTGGCCGGAGAAAAAACACGTAATTTCTAGCCTATTCAATTTCAATTCAGTTTATTTATATAGCGCGAATTCACAACACGTCATCTTTAGGCACTTTACAGTTCATAATTTCATATTTAAAGTACTTTCAGAAGTTTAAATTCTGAATATAACCAAATTTTTCGTTTAATTTAGTGTCAGCTTTCACTGCAAAAACTAACCCAAAAATAAATCTCTTAACATTATGGTTGGAAATGTTCAAAACTACCATTTTGGTTCCCAAACTATTAGCTTTGAAATTTCTTTTGAAAATCTTTTATTATTATTATTTTTTTTTTTTGCATCATTATTATTGACAAACCGTTTTGTTTAATTTAAAAGAGAAATCACCTGGAGACAATTTCTTCCTGAAATATAATTTGATTTTAACATGCATTTTATAGTTAAGTTTATAGTTTTACCTTAAAGTTTTCAAAGTTTCTTTAGTACAAGGAGCCTCCTGTTGCATTCAGATGTAGAAGTCACACAGGCTTCCTGTGTTTTTGTTATTTTAACTCATTTTCTCACCATCTGTGAGCGCTCTAGGCTAACTTTGTACTCTGCTTTGGTGCATCTTTTTTGCATTTTTGGCATAATACTTTTTTTCCCCCTCACAATTGTTCAATATCCACAATATTGTAAAAGATTTTAAAGATCTGGTCAAGAAATTTCTACAAGAATGTTATGAAAAAATGTTGCTGCATGAGGTGATTTACAGAGTTTAAATTTAAACCAAAAACATTTCCAGATAAATATAGAACAGCTTATTTTAAAAAGTGCAGACTGAACAGTGTCTTAAAGACCGTCCTCCACGGCAGCCATAGCCAAACCACAGCTAAAGCAGCTAGCAACACTCTCTATAACACATGGTCCGTCTGCAACGGTTCTGATCAGATCTGTTCCCCCTGAGCCTGACTAAAGGGACACATGTTGCTTCTGATTTGAGCCTCTCCTCCTTCACAGACTTTATCTGAGACACTCCCATTTCAAAGTCTAGCACGCCCATTTTCTCTGATGAATTCCTCTTAATATATTTATCTTGATATAGTTTTCTCTTTAACTGTAACTGTTGGTCATAAACACAAGATCCTGGTTGAAGAACAACAAACTTGCATTAAAAAAGTATGAATATAAATGTATAGCATCTCACAGTAAACAAAAGAGAATTATCTGATATGTCTTATCAATAATTTGATATTTATATTCTTGACATATTGCCTAAATCTAATGGAAGTTAGTTATTCTTTTGACTTGCATACATTTTTTTTTTTTAGCTATTTGTTTTTTGTTTGTGTTCTTTTGTAGCCCCAGCTTTAAGAAGTGAGCTCACACTATCCCAGTAATGCCACCCCTGGTACTGGAACCACTTTAGTGAAAAAGTCTTTTGTAGAAAGGACAAAAATCTAAGAAAAACTGTTCTAATCAATTTGGTTTGCTGTTGGATTTTCCACAGAATTCTCAATAGATTTTAAAATTAGATTTGAACTTGTATAAAAGTGATCGAGGTGAAGACTGCAGTACTTCATGCTAACATGTTTTCTAAAAGGATTCCTCAGAAAAGATTTTGTAAAATGTTTTAAGCCCGATGTCTGATACGGGAAAACCCTTTGGGTTTAACCGTGCATCTTTTTAAATTTTTTTTTTTTAAATGTTCTGATTCTGATAATCAATCTCTTGCAGGAACCAATCAAGTCTCGGGCGCCACAGTTGCATTTAGAATATCGCTTTTTAAAAATAGGAAGTTCAGTAAGGGCATGTTACTTAAAATTTTATGAAAGGACTTATTTTTGTATATATATATAATTTAATATATATTAATTTTATAAATTATTGTATGTGTGTCTGTGTATGTATTATTCAGGGTTTCGCGGGTTTTTAAAAATTTAATTAAATTATTATTTTTTAAAATTAAAGGGCCCTTTAAATTGGGAATTAAATTATTAAATGGTTATTGTGGCACTAAAAGCTTTTTTAAAAGATGTTTATTATTAACCGAATATTTGCGGGAAATGCTTCCGGTTGCTCGAAAAAGCAAAATTTTTCAGAAAAAAAAAAATTTTTTTGTTGTTTTTTTTTTTTTTTTTGTTTTTTTTTTTTGTTTTTTTTTTTTTTTTTTTTTTTTTTTTTTTTTTTTTTTTTTTTTTTTTTTTTTTTTTTTTTTTTTTTTTTTTTTTTTTTTTTTTTTTTTTTTTTTTTTTTTTTTTTTTTTTTTTTTTTTTTTTTTTTTTTTTTTTTTTTTTTTTTTTTTTTTTTTTTTTTTTTTTTTTTTTTTTTTTTTTTTTTTTTTTTTTTTTTTTTTTTTTTTTTTTTTTTTTTTTTTTTTTTTTTTTTTTTTTTTTTTTTTTTTTTTTTTTTTTTTTTTTTTTTTTTTTTTTTTTTTTTTTTTTTTTTTTTTTTTTTTTTTTTTTTTTTTTTTTTTTTTTTTTTTTTTTTTTTTTTTTTTTTTTTTTTTTTTTTTTTTTTTTTTTTTTTTTTTTTTTTTTTTTTTTTTTTTTTTTTTTTTTTTTTTTTTTTTTTTTTTTTTTTTTTTTTTTTTTTTTTTTTTTTTTTTTTTTTTTTTTTTTTTTTTTTTTTTTTTTTTTTTTTTTTTTTTTTTTTTTTTTTTTTTTTTTTTTTTTTTTTTTTTTTTTTTTTTTTTTTTTGTTTTTTTTTTTTTTTTTTTTTTTTTTTTTTTTTTTTTTTTTTTTTTTTTTTTTTGTTTTTTTTTTTTTTTTTTTTTTTTTTTTTTTTTTTTTTTTTTTTTTTTTTTTTTTTTTTTTTTTTTTTTTTTTTTTTTTTTTTTTTTTTTTTTTTTTTTTTTTTTTTTTTTTTTTTTTTTTTTTTTTTTTTTTTTTTTTTTTTTTTTTTTTTTTTTTTTTTGTTTTTTTTTTTTTTTTTTTTTTTTTTTTTTTTTTTTTTTTTTTTTTTTTTTTTTTTTTTTTTTTTTTTTTTTGTTTTTTTTGGGGGGGTTTTTTTTTTGTGATATATTTTTTTTTATTTTTTTTAAAATTTTTGGGTTTTTTTTTTAGTGTTTTTATTTTTGTTTTTTTTTTAAAATTTTATATTTTGTTTTTTATATATATATAGGGAAAATTTTTAATATTTTGTTTAAAATATTTATTTGTTTTATAAAATTTTTTGGGGTTTTAAAATTTTAAATAGTGTATATATATATATATTTTTTATATAATTTTAATGGTTTTTTATATTATTTTATTTTTTTTTATTTTGGTTATATTTTTTTTTTTATAGTTTTAAAAATTTTTTTTTTTTTGTAAAATTTTTTTTTTTTTAAAAAAAATTTTTTTTTTTTAAAATTTTTTTTTTAATATTAAAAAAAAAATTAAAAAAAAAAAAAAAAAAGGGAAATTTAAAAAAATTTTAAAGGGAAAATTTAAAAAAAAAAAAAAATTTAAAAAATTTTTTTTTAAAATTTTTTAAAAAAAAATAAAAAATTTTTTTATAAAAAAAATTTTTTTAAAAAAAAAAAAAAAAAAAATTTTAAAATAAAAATATTTAAATTTTTTATATAATTAATTTTTTTAAAATTTTAAAAAAAAAAAATTTTTTTTTTTTTTTTAAATTTTTAATATTAAAAAAAAATTTTCCCCCCCCAAAAAAAAAAAAAAAAAAAAATTTTTAAAAAAAAAAAAATTTTATTACCAAAAAAAAAAAAAAATTTTAAAAAAAAAAACAAAAATTTTTTTTTTAAAAAAAAAAAAAAAATATATATTTTAAAAAAAATTTTTTTAAAAAATAATTAAAAAATTTTTAAAAAAAAAAAATTTTTATTTTAAAAAAAAAAAAATATATATAAAATTTAAAAAAAATTAAAAAATTTTAAAAATAAAAAAAAAACCGTTATTAAAAAACCCAAAAACAAACCCAAACCCCCTTACATTTTCCCCCCTCTAAAAACCCCCCAAAAAATCCCCCCCAAAAAAAAAAAAAAAATTTCCCCCCCCTAAAAACCCCCCCAACCCCCCCCCCCAAAAAAAAACCCAAAAAAAAAAAAAAAAAAAAAACCCCAAAAAACCCCAAAAATTAAATAAATTTTTTTTCCCCCAAAAATAAAAACAACTTAAAAAATAAAAAACACAAAATCTAAATTTAAAAAACCACCCAAAAAAAAAAACCCAAAAACCCCCCAAAAAAACAAAACCATACAAAAAAAAAATTTGGTTTTAAAAATAAAAAATTTTTTATTAATTAGTAATTGTTTTCAGCGTTAAAATTTTTTAACCGGTTAACGATCAATGTGGGTTTGGGGTTAAAAATTTTTCGCCATTTTTGTTTTTCTTTAAAACTCCGTTTAAAAAAAAAAATTTACAGGTTTGGTTGCCCAAAAGGGGGGCTTTTATTTAATAAAAAATCCCAAAAAATATTTTAAAAAATAACAAATATGTAGCCAAAAAAAGGCCCTGAAAACAGGCTGATGTAAAAGACAGTCTTTACAGTTAATACAGTCTTTTGAACAAAGACAAGCATTTTACCCTACTGCTATAAAATGTAGTAGAGTTAACATTAGATGTTAATTAACCAAGATAATAATGAACAATTTTCAATCAATACATCAAAATCAATAGACCGACATCACTAGATGGAGGTAGTCTATGCTCTAGAAAGTTACTTTTCAGCCTCTTAACAAAAATGAGAACACACACACAAGCACCCACCCACCCACACACACACACACACACACACACACAGACACACGCGATACCGACCTGTGGCGTACACAGACAGCAAGAGTGCCGTAGCAGATTCCATTTCACCTCAGTAATCTGTTTTCTCAGCGTATTTCAGGTTGCTACTAGTTACCAGACACTCAACTTGTTTGTTGGTGGTGGGGCTTAAAGAAAAGACACTAGCGCCACCCAGTGTATGAGCGTCTTTTTCCCTTGAGGAGCTCCGCTCTTGAAGCCTATAAGAAATGCATACACTGGGGGAAAATAGCCCCGCCTTCCCGCAGGCTGCAGCGGGATGTACTTGGAAAATTGTACCATAAAACCACATAGCGTTAATCTCACGTTAAAAAAATTATCGCCGTTAAAATGGCCTTGCGTTAACGCGTTAATAACGCTATAATTTTGACAGCACTAGTATATATATATATATATATATATATATATATATATATATTAGGGCTGCAACAACGAATCGATAAAATCGATAAAAATCGACTTTTAAAAGCGTTGGCAACGAATTTCATCATCGATTAGTTGTGTCGCGCGATTATTGCGCCATCCGCCGCACCGTCATCACTGCCTCTTGACTGAAAGAGGAAGGAAAAAAAATATGGCAGAGCGAGTCAGCGCCGCTGGTGCAGTGTTGCCAACTCAGCGACTTTTCAGACCCCTCCAGCGACTATTTTTCAAAAAAACGACTAGCGACAAATCTGGCGACTTACTTTGGATTTGCTTAGTTGTTAGGATTTTTATTCATGTATAAATTTACTGGGTATGTTTATTGTTGAGTTGGGTTTTGTTTAAAAACTGTTTATTTCCTGCTTTTTTCTGTCACCAATTCAGGATAAACTGGTTATTAATGGTTCCTCTCATTGGGAGAAAGTATAGAAAAATAAGGCTACTTCTAAAAAACTTTATTTTTTTGTTACTTATTTTTTATTTGTCTTTTATCCCCATTACATTTTTAGCAGTTTAAAGCTGCCAGTCTTCTAATAAAATTGATTTTAAACCCCTGATTCATTGATTTGTTGTCCTTTCTTCCTCTCCTGATCCTCCAGATGGTGTACCTCAGGTGTTTTATTTTGGACCATGTGGTAAATATAACGCCATGGTTCTGGAGCTGCTTGGACCCAGCTTAGAAGACCTGTTTGACCTCTGCGACAGGACTTTCTCTCTAAAAACTGTACTCATGATAGCCATACAGCTGGTAAGACATTTTAAAGCTAATAAAACCAAAACTTTCTCGCTTTAAATTCTTCTAATGCCATCTTGTGCTTCAGATAACCCGCATGGAGTTCGTCCACACCCGAAGCCTCATCTATCGCGACGTAAAGCCTGAGAACTTCCTTGTGGGCCGACCTGGCTCTAAACGGCAACACACCATCCACATCATAGACTTCGGCCTCGCAAAGGAGTACATAGACCCTGAGACGAAGAAGCATATCCCATACAGAGAACACAAGAGTCTGACTGGAACTGCCAGATACATGAGCATCAATACACATTTGGGGAAAGGTGAGTGATTTTTAAAGGATCATGATGGTATTTGGTTTTCTTAAAAAGGAAATTCTGCCTCTCACTGCGTCGCAAAATCAAACCGGATTAAGCCGGCAGGTTGGGCTTCGGTTCAGAATTTGATGCCAGATGGGTAGAGGAATGGATCTCTTTCAGTAGGTAGTAGTTTGGTTGTTATTTATTTATTTTATTATTTTATTTTCACAACAAAAACATAAAAACAGAATGTTTCAACTGCCGAAAAACCCTCAAGGGGCTTAATGAGTGGCAGTCTCCATAAAAACAAATATATTTCACCATTTCAGACATCTATATGATATAGTGTAAAAAAACAAAAATAAAATAAATTATTTCTTTGTATAGAACAATTTAAAATATCATTTAGACCACAAATCCATATGGAAAATTCAGACTACTTAGTAGCAGCAATTTTACTCTCCGTTTAAATTGTTCTTTAGAAGATCTGTCAGTGATGTGGGAAGACTGTAGCCTCGTGAGACCATCCTGATCTCGCGAGCTTTCAAGGTTTCACTCGCAGATCAGTCTGGAGACTCTCCGTTAAAGAAAATTTGGAGCCGTTCACCAAACGAACGTCCAATCAGCGTTGGCTTTGAGGCGGGTTAAGGTGTGACGCAACGAGAAGCGCGACAGTTCAGTCTAAAGAACATGGCGGCTTCAGCCGATGAAACTAGCGTTAGCAAGTTTTATGGGAATTACAAAGTATTTCTTCACTGAAAGAAGAGCAAAACACTGCTCTGGAGGCTTTTCTCAGAGGAAAAGATGTTTTTGCTCTTCTCCCGACTGGTTTCGGCAAGAGTAGACTGGCTTGTGGTTGTGTTTTCGTCGTCGCTCTGTTAGTACGTCATATGCTTTGTTGATCTGATTGGTTTATTTGGCCCGTCTATCACCAACATAGGCCAATCAGCTAACCAGTATTTTCGCCCCTTCCCAAAATTACTTCAATTGAAGGTTTCCAGATGGATATGCGGAGCAAATCCATCTGGCGGAGTCAGGTTAGGAAGACTGTTCCATATCCTTGATCCTCTGTATAAAACAATAAACTGTGTTTGAGTTGTACGAGAGTAAGGAGACCTGATAAGACAACTACTACTAGTTGGATACTGGTGAAATTAATTATTAAAAGTAAAAATATTACAAAAGTGCTGGGGAAGTAACTTTTTTAATAGAGCTATAAACGAATAAAGCTATTTGAAGTTGATTCACTTGATAAACACTAAGAATATTTGCCTGAGCAAACAGTGGTTGGGAGGGGTGTCTACGATTTACACAAAATATTAGTCTTAAAGCTCGCTTCTGAAGTCGAAAAACAGATTCAAATTTATTAGGGTAAGCAACATTACAGTAATTATTCTGTTGGCGGTGCAAAGCTGGAGGCAGAAAGGTTCCCTTCTGCACTTTAATAAGTTTCTAGCAAGTTTGGATTTTTTTGTTTTGTTTTTTAACAGCTATAGATTTTTGTTTTCTTTTCTAATTGAAAGATTATTCAATTTCCAGCCGTGGGATAGTAATTTAAATATGGAAAAAAGTTTTTTGTTTTGTTACATTATTGTTGCAAGAAAAGAACATGTTTTTATAAATGGAAAATAAAAAAAAATTATTATGCAGTAAACAGAATGTTTTTTTTTTCTTTACTTTAGTTTTTAATAAAAAATAAAAAATTTATAGGATTTTATATTTCTGTTTTATTTCTCGGTCAGGTGGAATTATTATTATTATTTTTTTTTACAAATAGTTATATTCTATTTAAGCCTCATAAGAAATGTTGCTAACATTCAACAGACCAAAAGAAATTCGTCTTCACTCCAGAGAAAGCTCTAGAAGTAAAGGATAAAATTAAAAGGCATTTTGAAAAGAAAGCAGTTCATAAAACTGAAAACATGTCATCTGAATAAAAAAAAAAAAATAGATAAATAAAATGATACAAAAAATGCAGTTACTCTCAAAATCGCATTGCATTTCCATTTTTACAAAACAGGTTCTCTGCTTGCAACAATAATGGATCAAGATTGACTGTTTTGTAGCTGCCCTACATCTGAAATTTTAAGTTGTGTATTATTAAGTCCAATGTTTGAAAATAAGCCCTGACTGGACTGCTTGGAGCAAACTAAACCGGTTTAAACCGGCTATGATCTGTTCGATCTTCTCCTGGGTTTATTTCTGGATCATTTCTTGCAGAGCAAAGCAGAAGGGATGACCTGGAAGCTTTAGGCCACATGTTTATGTACTTTCTGCGGGGCAGCCTGCCTTGGCAGGGACTGAAGGTAAGAAAACTACCAGTCAGTCATTTCCCGTCAAACCAAGTGGATCCTTCCTCTGAGTGATTTTGGCTCCTCCTCTCTCCCCTCAGGCCGACACTCTCAAGGAACGATATCAGAAAATAGGAGACACAAAGCGAGACACGCCAATAGAAGTGCTCTGTGAGAACTTCCCAGGTTTGTGTTTCTAACACAAAAAACAACATGCTTACGGTGATCAAGTCTCATGATCCACTGCTTAACTCTGTTTGTGAAATGCCCTTGCTTGTGTGTGTAACAGAAGAGATGGCCACCTACCTGCGATATGTGCGACGGCTGGACTTTTTTGAGAAGCCAGACTACGACTATCTGAGGAAACTCTTCACAGACCTCTTTGACAGGAACGGATACATCTTTGATTATCAGTACGACTGGACTGGAAAGCCACTGGTTAGTGATACGTTTGTTTGGTGTCCTTTTTACACAGAAGGTTTTCCTGCTGTGGTTTTATTCCAGATTTCCTGTATTCTGCTCCGAGTTCAGAGCATCTGGGATGCGGTGTTCTGGTTCTCTGATGGCCACCCATTGAAACTAATAAGAGAGCAAGACCTTTGCACTTGCAGCCGCTGTGGAAGTCTTTACATTTGTTTTTTTAGGTTTAATAGATATATATTGGCATTTTTATCTGTTGTCGATTCAACAATGGATAAAAACTTTCACATAACACTTGGTCCCTTCATCTAACCAATAAAAACATGCCATATTTTCCAGACCATGAGCCGCTAATCTTTTTCCACCCTTTGAACCAGATTATAAAAAGGTGCAGCTTTTCTGTTGATTTTTTTCCTAACCGCCAGAGGAGGAAGTCAAAGTTGGAAATGAAAGAATAAGGGGCTAATTTTCATTTAGCATAAGAAGATGCTTAGTAGCGGGCACGGCAAAGAACAAATGTCCTGAATTTGCACATTCAGGACAACCGAGCCGGGTTTTCCCCCGGCTCGGTTCTCTGATAACAAGAGCGCATGAGCAGAACGCATCATCTCCATCTGGCTGCACATCGCGATTCACACTCCATTCCAGTAGTTGGCGCTAATGCCCCTCCAGAAGTTGGTAGCCAACCAACGCAAAACAGAAGAAGAAGAACAACAATAAACAACAATCAAGTAAATCCACGAAAGGTTGCCTTCTTCACCTGACCCTCCGCAAACACTGAATTACAGCAATAATAATCAAGCATAACTTTCTGAATGTGACGGGCGCCGCCATTTTGATTTGCTTGATTCCCTCCTTATACGTCTTCTTCTTCTTGTGTTTTATGGCGGTTGGCAAACAACTTTTGGTGCATTACCGCCACCAACTGCTTGATTTCCTCCTTCAGTACTGGCAGTAATAGCGCAGATCGTCACTCGGAGGCGAGGAGTCGAGGAACAGAGATAGCCTGGCTAACTGATCCGAGCTTGGACCGGCCTCGGCATGGATCGGTTTTTCAAGGGTAGTGTAAATGGGGTATATATATGTGAATTTAGTGGGCAAGGATTATAGTGATGTGTGCTCTATAGTCTGAAAAATAATGTTATAACCTTTTTTAAAGGTTTGACGGGTTAAAAAGCTAACTGTCAAAGCATGTGTCGAATCTTAGCTAACTACGGTTGTGTTCAGAACCCTACCTTTTAGCAGACTGATTTAATCAATTACGTTTTTCTTTAAATCCATTTTTACCTATCCCCTCCATAGGTATGGGTGCTCTGTGCTGGAAAAAAATACAATTTGGGAACAAAAATGGCAACCTGTAAAAATATAGTTTGAACTTTTACATACACTTAATAAATGACTCTCAAAACATTTTCCTTTTTTTTGAAGTTCCACTTTTAACATTTTTTCTTTTTTTCAAATTTCCATTTTTGACTTGTTTTTTTTATTTATTTTAGTTTGCTTTGGGGTTTTTTTTTCCAGATAATTTTTTTTTAAATGTATTTACGCTTTTATGGGAAGTTTTACAAATTGCATTCTTTTCTAATTATAATTGACAGATTTCACCCTTTTCGCCTCTGGGTGGAATTCAGAAAAATTAAAGCCATTAAAAAGTTGTGCAAAAACGGAAAACAAAAATCTGGGGGGGAAAAGAATCCGTGTATCATTCGTTCTTTCTATTTTCAATTGCCAATCAAAAAACAAAAAATAAAAAATTGACTGGTTATTTTGTTTTTTATGGTTAAACCAAAAACGAAAAAAGGATTTGTTTTTCATATATCAATTTTAAGCTCAGATCAAGAATACGAAATGGAAAAACGGACAGCAACGCATAATTTGATTTTAATATTTAATCGGTACAGTTTACGTGACCCGGAAGTTTGGTGGAGCGTTAGCTAAAAAAACAATTGGCTTACCCCCACCACGTTCGATCAAGCTGCACCAGATAAGGCAGTCGGACCTATCAGCCATGGACAGTTACGTGTTATTTCGAGGATCCAAGCGTGTGACTCTTAAGGAGGAGGATATGACAATGGAGAAAATCAGCAGGATTTTCCAGGTATAACTTTTGTCTTGAAACTTTTCTGTGCACTGTACTTTTAACTAGCAACAACAAACAAATAGCTCTTTGCGCAGCAGTTGGGGTAATGAAGTGGCTACCATGGCGACGCTAGAACCACACACTATGTTGATCGAGAAGCTGTTTGTTGTTGCTAGTTAAAAGTACAGTGCACAGAAAAGTTTCAAGACAAAAGTTATACCTGGAAAATCCTGCTGATTTTCTCCGTTGTCATATCCTCCTCCTTAAGAGTCACACGCTTGGATCCTCGAAATAACACGTAACTGTCCATGGCTGATAGGTCCGACTGCCTTATCTGGTGCAGCTTGATCGAACGTGGTGGGGGTAAGCCAATTGTTTTTTTAGCTAACGCTCCACCAAACTTCCGGGTCACGTAAACTGTACCGATTAAATATTAAAATCAAATTATGCGTTGCTGTCCGTTTTTCCATTTCGTATTCTTGATCTGAGCTTAAAATTGATATATGAAAAACAAATCCTTTTTTCGTTTTTGGTTTAACCATAAAGAACAAAAAACAAAATAACCAGTCAATTTTTTATTTTTGTTTTTTGATTGACAATTGAAAATAGAAAGAACGAATGATACACGGATTGAAAAGATTTAAAAAATAAAATCTGTGGGGGAAAAAAAATACATTTTTGAAAACCTAAAAGAAAAACTAAAATTGCCCCCTGTGAAAATAGTAGAAACATCTATATTTTGCTACACATTATAAATGAATCTCCAAGCATTTTATTTTCACTTTTGTAACACTTTTTTTTCTTTTCATTAACTTCTTTGAATCATGTTGTTTGCTTTTATTGATATTAGAACAATGCTGTAGGTCCCAAGTTGTAATAAATATCGATTGAAAGTGACATCGAATTCGCATTGGTTTCCACTTTAGTCACATTTTAAAGGAGCAGATACGAGTGGGATTATGGACCAAGTATGAGATTGAGACTCAAATCGAACTTGAAAAGATGAAATTTGGAACCAATCTGTGTTGTTTCTTAAATGTCTGATCTGCTCACCTGACTCCAAACGATTTACATCTGGTTCACATCTGCATGGAGTGGAAATGGGGCCTCGTGTTCCTCTCAGTCTGTCCATTCCTCCAGGTGTGAAGATGTTTTTTTAGGCTAAAAAATAAGTAAACTAGTGTTTTCTATTTTTCCACATCACAAAGTAAGTATTAAAAGTATTGCATAATAAAGGCTGTAATCGTATTGATTCAATGTTGCAATATCAGCATCGTCTTGGAAATGATAAAGTTGTATCAGGACACCTCTGCTTTGTGTTTTTTTTTTTTTACAGGTGTAGAACGCGTCTTCTCTTTAACCCTTTAAAGCCTGAACCTTGAAATACTTGTCAGAACATTCTAGTTTTCCAAAATTAGAATTGTCATTGAACTTTCTGACAAATTAAATAAAAATATAAATTTTGTATACATTAAATTAAAGCATTTTTGCATCACTTTTGATACATTATAAATTTCTATATAATCTTTCATATGTTTTCTGTTCACTACATGTGTCTGATTATGTAAAGCAGGGTTTTAAGAACACAAACATCACACTGATGATGCAGAGGTTTCAAAAACTCAGGTATCAAATATGATACACCTGGCTTTAAAGGGTTAATTGACCTTTAGTTCTAAGCCCCTACTGCAGGGCTTGTTATAATTTAAGATTTAATGATTTAAGTCAGGATAAATAACATTCTCCATTACTTATTTTGTTCCTAAATAAGAGGAAACACTTGTGAAAAGACACTATTTATACAAAAATCATGTGATGGATTTGTTCCAACCTCTTCAGCTGTTTTAGATGAGTTCTGACTTGGAAGAAGATGGAGGCCTGAGATAAACTTCATGTTTTATTTTAAGCAGCTTTGATTCCAGTATTAAAACCTTCCTTAAATTAAGCCGATAAAAAAACAAAAACAGCATCAAAGTGTCTTTGTTTTAGTTTTTTGTTACCAGAAAAGTATGAATATTAACGAGCTTTGATTTGTTTGTTTTCTTCCTCCTGCCTTCCCTGCATCGCTCTGTGTGTTTAGCCGACTCCCATTGGGCCCGTGGCGACTGAAACCCAGCTGCCGGCGAGCAACCGAGAGAAAGCGCCTCAAACCAAAAACCAGGTACAGATTCATGCAAACTAATGTGATACAGGGTTGGCCTGTAAGGTCTCAGCTATTCACAAACTTTTGTTGTTTTTTCTTTTTTGGTTGTATTAACATAAGCAACCTTTTTATGTACACTTTGCTTAAAATGCTTGGCAACATTTTTTCATCCTTTCTCTTAGCTTCTGTTAATTATCTGGGTTTTTTTGGGGGGGGGGCTTGCTTTTAATTTAATTTCACCAATAAGATTTTTGGATGATGTCAAGTTTTACAGAACCAAGTATTTAATCATTTCCGTAATATGACTCTGTTCTAAGATATTAGTGAGTTAACGCCTTGCTAGTCACAACGTTCACTAAAAAAGGAGTTTTAGTTTCCAAAGTCTCATGTTCTTTTCTTTAGCATCTTAGCGAAAATGAAAACCTTCCTGGAGAAGTGTAGGTGGTTAAGTGCTGCAGCTCAGTCACTGGTTCGTAAAGCTTACATTTTTTTTATTTTATTATTGCAGTTTCCATTTAATAAACTTATTTTCTTAATTATATTCCAGAAACAGTAAAAAAAAAAAAAAACACTAGACTTTGTTTCCAAGTTTGAAGATGTTTTGCCCCCCCTTTCAGAGATATATACAGGTATGGGGTAGGGGTGTAAATAATAATCGTTTTGTATCGATGCATCGATCCAAAAGCCGACGATCCGATGCATCGATACGTCCGCAAGATAATCGATTAATGTTTTTTTTTTCCCTCCGGTCTATTTTTATCCATTTGCTCCTGGGCGTAATTCTTCCTCCCATGCTGCGGTGCCGCTAAACCTATTTTCCCCTCCTACCTCGCTTCCTGGTTATACTCTTACAGCAGTTTGTTGCAGCAAGCTTCACACAGACATTTTTAAATTATGCTCAGTATTGAAGCGTGGTCTGCGCTACACGCTGTGGGTCTAGATACGGCCGAGGCGATGAGGAAGTGGGGGCGAGTTTAGTCCGACGACGGAGGGACAATGGGGCAAAAAGAGCGGAGATTCAGCTGGAAAAAGGCTCCCAGCGTTCTCGCGCTTCTAGCGGGTCAAACTTCACGAGTTGTTTTCCGCAATTTCGGTCATAAAAACAAAACTAGCCGGCCTCCTGTCTGCTGCACTGTTTGCGGTCAGCTACAATCTGGAAGAGGAGCAGCGGAGCGTCTCTCAAGGGGCGGTGACGTCAACACTCTGGAGCCTTCTTCTTCTTCTTTTTTTTAATGGCGGTTGGCAAACAACTTATAGGTGCATTACCGCCACCTTCCAGAATGGAGTATGGACCAGACAAACTATTATATTCTCCCTAAAATACCCGTTCTTCTTAGAAAATTAAAAATACTCCCATAAACTACATCCCCAGATGACCTTTGAAACAATTCCCTTATATCTAGTTTATTTTTATTCCTGTCTAACTCTCTACACAACATCTCTCTTTCCTGAGTATATTTATTACATTCTAAAAAAATATGTTGGACAGTTTCTCTGGAGCCGAGGTATTGCATTGAACTCATTACACTGATATTGTGCAGTATTTTTGCAGTATTTTTTGATGCAACTTTTCTACTTCTGTTATTTGCTGTTGTTTCTAAAGAAAATGCATAATGATATTACAGCTTTCATTGATTTATTTCAAACTTGAAACTTTGTTTAGCCTGTAAGGTCTAAAAAAAAAAAAAATAATAATAATAATAATAAAAAAAAATTAACAGATTAATCGATTAATCGAATCGAATCGAATCGAGGTGTATTCTTAAGTATCGAAAATAATCGAATCGTTGGGTCAGGAAATCGATACTGAATCGAATCGCCATGATGGATGTGATTTACACCCCTAGTATGGGGCATTGTAGGCTGACAAAGAACCCAAACGACCCCTATTCCAAATTGCACAAAAAAAAACTTTGTTTTTGGTCTATAAAGCTTCAACGGTATTTCTGGCATTTTGAATTGAAAAAGCTTCCTGGATGGGAAGCGAAACGTCTTTAAACTTGGAAACAAAGTCCAGTGGATTGTTGTTTTTTTTTACTGTTTTGGAATAACTAGGACCTGGATGACTGAGAATCTTCACCATTCTTAATTACAATTTTCCCAGTTTGATACTGAATGGAAAGGCAGCTATTTACAAACAGGCTACCGACATTTTTATCAAGCAAACAGACGACCTTAATTACCTGTTTGAAAGACATTATTTCAGCCTGGAATTGACCTTTAGGGGTCCGGCTTGCTCAGTTAAAGCTGTTTTCATTGCACTACTGCCATCTGCAGGTGATATTAGGTACAGCAATTCAATGCTTGTCACTAACTGGGTTAAGTGTAAAACAGAGCTAACTTTGTAATTTACTGGGACTATTTTCCATGAGTGAAAGGCGATATTCCTGGTTATACTCTGATTTTAGTTACGATAAAATACGGGGACTTAAAGTAATAGGGAAGCCATATTTAAATTTCAAATCATTCTAGCTTAAACGTGTAAATAAATGTACTCTTTATTAGACCATATTGTCCCAAAAGTTAGAAAAATTCTATTAAAAAAAAAAAAAAAATCCCGTCTTAAAATATGTGTTGTTTTTTCCGTTATCTTGTGCAGGCCAGTTAGTTCTACGTCAGCCTGAACACCTAAATTCGGCCAATCATACATCAACAGTCATCTGTCAATCAAATATTTTCGGTCATAGCATCTTGATTCATATGTCGCAGCTAATATACGCAACGGTCAAACATGTACAGCTTTAAACCATGCTTCTGGCGTCCTCTTCCACAACATCTTCGTCCCCGCTTTCCTCCTCTAAATAAAAAATGGATGACGGAGGAGACTCATCCACGACCTCCGACACTAAACTCTCCTCCTCTTGCATGTTTCCGCTGTCCATAGCGTTCCTTGACAGCGTCGTTTTATTATTATTATACCTTTATTTTTAGAGCAAAGTCATTAAGAATACGTTATTTTCAATGGCGGCCTGAAAAGTTGAGTAACCACTCAGGAAAAGGGAAGCAGGGCTAAAATAATACATTAGTAATGCATACATAACATACAATTTAAAACACAACGGCCCAAAAATGACTATGTAGAGAAGCAGCTGCAAGTTATTGTAAACAAAGATGAAATGATTGTCTTGAAGGATGAAATTGGAATTAGTACATCCAGTTTTAGAACATTTTGCAGAGCGTTCCAGTTACAAGCAGCAGGAGATTGAAAAGAAGCAAGGCCAAAGGCAGTGTTGGTTTTGGGAATAAGGAATTGCAAATGAAGTGAGGACCGGGTGTGACAGGCTTTGGCTGCAGCAGGGAACATAAATAAGATGTTGAGCGGCGGGAAAGGTTCTTATAAATGAATATGAACCTGTGATTTTTGCGTCGATTGTGAAGGGAGGGCCAGTTGACAGATGAAAACAGGGCGCAGGGGTGTGTATTGAAAGGAGCATTTACAGCAAACTTGAGTGGTGAACTTTCAAGTTTTGATAGAGTGGACTTGCAAACAACCCTATATATAGTATCTCCATAGTCTAATATGGGTAGAATGGTCATTCGGGTAAGAAAACGGGGGATTGGGAATGATTCCATTTGTTAAGGGTGCACAAGTTACCAAAAACGGCCACTTTCCCTATGAAGTTTTTGCAGCTGAAGTTTTGCAGCTGAAGTTTTGCAGCTGAAGTTTTGCAGCTGAAGTTTTGCAGCTGAATTATTTGCAGCTGAATTATTTGCAGCTGAATTATTTGCAGCTGAATTATTTGCAGCTGAATTATTTGCAGCTGAATTATTTGCAGCTGAATTATTTGCAGCTGAATTATTTTCAGCTGAACTTTTGTGCAGCTGAATTATTTGCAGCTGAATTATTTGCAGCTGAATTATTTGCAGCTGAATTATTTGCAGCTCAATTATTTGCAGCTGAATTATTTTCAGCTGAACTTTTGTGCAGCTGAATTATTTGCAGCTGAATTATTTGCAGCTGATTTTTTACCAGATAAAAATTGAGTGTAAGGAATTCAATGTCTAAAAAAAATCCAGTGTTTAAAATTCGTTGTTAAAAAAATCCAGTGTTTAAAATTCGGTGTTAAAAAAAAAGGCAGATTCCAATGAGACTGTTTTTCTTCCATAGAGTAAGTGTACCAGAGCTGGAGCCTTCAGTCATTCCATCCCTGTTTTACTTTCCTTTGACATAATTCCTGAATGAGAAACCTCACGGCATAGGCTGGAAGTTCCCTGAACTCCAGAACCTGCCCTCGTTCTGCATGGAGCTTCCTAAATGAGCAGTTTTCAGTGCAGACATACAGCCCTGAACTCCTCCTGTTTCTCTACCACTAAATACTGACTCACTGTTTCTTTTTTCACTTTTTTTCTCTTTTCTCTCCTCGATGCTCCCTTTGTCTCGCCACGTTGTGCTTTCACCTCCTCCGTTTCCCTTTTTTTTAAAACGTTTCCTCGTCATCCATTATCTTTTTTTTTTTTTTTTTTTACTTTGTTTTGCTAACTCATCTACATTCTCCTCCTCTTGCTTCTTCTGTTACCTATATGTACCTTTCCTTTTTCCTGGGATCGTCTCCTCTAGTCTCCAGAGGGGAAAGGCAGTGAGTCTCAACCCACTCCAATCACCAACCAAGAGCTGCTGGGCTCCCACCTCAATGCAGATAGGCTGGGCGGGTCTGTCCAGGTACTGAGAGGAAGGATTAGCTTTGCTGGCTTCCTGTCTGTCCGCCTGCATGAGCCTCTTTTGTCTCTGAGGACAGGCTAACTGTGAGACCATGTCCTTGAAAAATACATTATTCCTACATATTGGAATGTTTGAACAGAAACCCAGAAATATAAATTACACATCTATGATCCATCCAACATTTATCTGCAGGACTTTACTTTTAGATCGAGAGGTAACTTTCATTAAGTATTGAAATGCATGATATCAATTAATGACTTAATCTAAAGTTGGATATTTTCTTAAAAACCGAAGTTTTCTGTTTTACCAACAGAATCTTTTTTCCAATATGCTAGATTTAAAGGAAAAGTCCGATCATATTGAGATTTCCAACTTCTGAAAGTACTTTACATATGAAATTATAACATACTGTTTAATGAATGATGTGTTTTTAATTCAGAGTAATTTTCATGTGAATGTGCTTTACTGGAGGCATCCATGTTTGTCAAAGAACACTACTGCCACCTACTGGTTTGTGATGTCATGGTGCTGTTGGATCAAGTCCCAGTGCTGTTTCTGGTGTTTGTCACAACGCGTTATTATTATTTCTCTGGCCAGAAGTGCAAGAAGTTGGCAATCCAACAACGAACCCATTTTTCCCCGATGTATTCCAGCATCCAGCTGCCATGCACGTGGGCATTGTCAGTTTAACTACATGTGCTGGTCATAAAATTAGAATATCATGAAAAAGTAGATTGATTTCAGTAATTCCATTTAAAAAGTGAAACTTGTATATTATATTCATACATTACATACAAACTCATATATTTCAGATGTTTATTTTGTTTAATTTTGATGATTACAAATGACAACAAATGAAAATCTCAAATTCATCATATCAGAAAATTAGAATATTGTGAAAAGGTTCAAAATTGATGGCCCCTGGTGCCACACTCTAATCAGCTAATTAACTCAAACCACCTGCAAAAGCCTTTAAATGGTCTTTCAGTCTAGTTCTATAGGCTACACAATCATGGGGAAGACTGCTGACTTGACAGTTGTCCAAAAGACGACCATCGACACCTTGCACAAGGAGGGCAAGACACAAAAGGTCATCGCTAAAGAGGCTGGCTGTTCACAGAGCTCAGTGTCCAAGCACATTAATAGAGAGGCGAAGGGAAGGAAAAGATGTGGTCGAAAAAAGTGTACAAGCAAGAGAGATAACCGCACCCTGGAGAGGATTGTGAAACAAAACCCATTCAAAAATGTGGGGGAGATTCAGAAAGAGTGGACTGCAGCTGGAGTGAGTGCTTCAAGAACCACCACACACAGACGTATGAAAGACATGGGTTTCTGCTGTCGCATTCCTTGTGTCAAGCCACTCTTGAACCACAGACAGCGTCAGAAGCGTCTTGCCTGGGCTAAAGAGAAACAGGACTGGACTGCTGGTGAGTGGTCCAAAGTCATGTTCTCTGGTGAAAGTAAATTTTGCATTTCCTTTGGAAATCAAGGTCCCAGAGTCTGGAGGAAAAGAAGAGAGGCACTTCATCCACGTTGCTTGAAGTCCAGTGTAAAGTTTCCACAGTCAGTGATGGTTTGGGGTGCCATGTCATCTGCTGGTGTTGGTCCATTGTGTTTTCTGAGGTCCAGGGTCAACGCAGCCACATACCAGGAAGTTTTAGAGCACTTCATGCTTCCTGCAGCTGACCAACTTTTTGGAGATGCAGATTTCATTTTCCAACAGGACTTGGCACCTGCACACAGTGCCAAAGCTACCAGTACCTGGTTGAAGGACCATGGTATCCCTGTTCTTAATTGGCCAGCAAACTCTCCTGACCTTAACCCCATAGAAAATCTATGGGGTATTGTGAAGAAGAAGATGCAATACACCAGACCCAACAATTCAGAAGAGCTAAAAGCCACTATTAGAGCAACCTGGGCTATCATAACACCTGAGCAGTGCCACAGACTGATCGACTCCATGCCACGCCGCATTGCTGCAGTAATACAGGCCAAAGGAGGCCCAACTAAATACTGAGTGCTGTACATGCTCATACTTTTCATGTTCATACTTTTCAGTTGGCCAACATTTCTATAAATCCTTTGTTTTTATTGGTCTTCAGTAATATTCTAATTTTCTGATATGATGAATTTGAGATTTTCATTTGTTGTCATTTGTAATCATCAAAATTAAACAAAATAAACATCTGAAATATATGAGTTTGTATGTAATGTATGAATATAATATACAAGTTTCACTTTTTAAATGGAATTACTGAAATCAATCTACTTTTTCATGATATTCTAATTTTATGACCAGCACCTGTATAACTCTGGTGAATTTCAATGGTGAAGTCCTCTGGAAATCTTAAGGTTGTAGTAGGGAAGTCATTTAAATGTCAAATCATTCCGGCTTAAACATGTATATAAATGTACTCTTTATCAGACAAATGAAAATGTCTATTTCTAAAAAAAAATCCTGTCTTAAAACATGTAAGTTTTTTCTTTTTCGTTATTTAATGCAGGCCAGTTAGTTCTACGTCAGCCTGTTCACCTAAATTCAGCCAATCATATATTAACGGTCATCTGTCAATCAAATATTTTCGGTCACAGCATCTTGATTCATGTGTCGCAGCTAATATACGCAGCGGTTGAAATCAGAATAATTTCCTTTCCCCTCGAGTTGCGTCCCAGTGTTCACGGGGATGGACGTCTGTGTCTTCGGCAGGCGTAGAGCTAACAGAACTGGCAGCGTTGCGAGGCAAGGGCTCAAACATGTACGGCTGGAAGCCTTCTACACCAAACCAAGCTTCTGCCGCCCTGGCGTCCTCTTCCACAACATCTTCGTCCCCGCTTTCCTCCTCTAAATAAAAAATGGATGACGGAGGAGACTCATCCACGACCTCCGACACTAAACTCTGCTCCTCTTGCATGTTTCCGCTGTCCATAGCGTTCCTTGACAGCGTCGTTTCTAAGTCACCAATTTAGTGCTACTTGGTCCCAATGGAGTTTCTCATTGGGAACCTGTTAGCACTAAGTTGCTAACTGGTTAGCAAGATGCTTCCGAGAAAACGGCCTCAACCAAAATGCTTGCAAACCTTCCGCGACGATAATCCCGCCCCCTTGATAATCGACCAATCACATTCACTTTATTCACTGGTGTAAAGTCGGGCACCACTCAGGAGAATTCGGAAATGCAACGGTTGGAACAGCCGTTTCCCTACGACTTCAAATAATTGTTGTTGATTGCAGATGTGTCTAATAGTTCCCATTGATTTTGCTTGTAAAGCAGGGAGAATGGCGCTAGGCTTAACCGCACCGTGACGTCACTGCCAGAGGATAGCAGGAGGGTGGTGTTACTATAATAGGCCAAAAATGGCCGCTCCCAGACTCGGTGATCGCGATGAAAATTATTTTTATTTTTTCACTGATTAACGCTGAATTCATTAAATCACCGCAAACTTATTCGTTTTAGGTTTAAATAATGATCAATTGATCATTGCTTGCTGACCGGACTTTTCCTCTAAAAAAAAAAGTACATCATAAATATAATAAATATAAATAATAAAGTTATTTCTAATGTATAAAAAAACAGGAAGATATCAGGTTAATGAATAAATGCGTTAAAAATGGGAAGCAGATAAAGAAGATATAAAAATCACTAACGCAGGGTTTGTCGCTCTGAATGCTGTCTGACTATTGTTACGTTTCTATAGCTACTTACCGATCTGATCTAAACCTTGGTCGATCAAAAGTTCAAAAACTTTGTTCACACTGACACTAAATGCAATCGATCCAATCATAATTAAATATTTACCAAATGCACACAGCATTTAGTCAGAATAAATCATTTTAGCATTTGTGTAACTGTCTAATTTTCCAGCAGCGCTTTAGTAGTAGAAGAAGAAGCTGCCTGTTTTGTAAACAAACCCGTCTTGTTCGTTCATCCTCCACTTTAGCTACTGTTTGGGCCTCACCCGCACATTTCTTTTTCTTCAGTTCTTTATTCCTGTCTGTTGATTTAGCTTCTTTTTTTTTCCATTATGAACCTTTGTCATGTCATACTTATGCTTTTGTTGGTTATTTTTATTTTAGTTAAAGGCTCAGCTGTGCTTTATGCTAATGCTTCTTTGCTATGGGGTAGAGGACAGGATGACATGTTTATTCACACATTACAGTTAGAACCACCTTCTCAGGGAAGTCAGGGAAGTAAACAATGCAGAGCAACATTGAAAGAAGCCAAGGCGTAGTCAGTATACTTTATTATTTCACTCTTTTATCTGTCTGAATCCCTTCCACCAGAGCTGCTCCATGTTTATCGAATGTAAACATGGGAGCTGGTTCGGAGCTCGTCTGCCTGGCTGTGTGTTTCCTGGATGGGGCCGCCTTTTACAGCTCCCTTTTCTATCTCTGCTTCTGTCTCCTTGAACCCCAGTGGGCCTCAGCAGATGGCCGCTCACACTGAGCCTGGTTCTGCTGCAAGTTTCTTCCTGTTAAAAGGGAGTTTTTCCTCTCCACTGTCGCTACAAGCATGCTTAGTGTGAGGGAATTGTATTTGAGTCAATGAGTCGATGCAATCAACTGGTTTCCCTTAGATAGAAAACTTTGAATCAATCTGACTGGATGATCTGGTTGAACTGGAAAGTGCCTTGAGATGACGTGTTGTGAATTGGCTCTAAATAAATAAACTGAATTGAATTGAAATAAAAAAAAAAAAAGGTTTTCCAGCTTGTTAGATCAAAGCGGCTGGCGCGGTGTGTTGACGTCCGTATGTTGCTTTCAATGGGGTCGCATAATTTATCGGGTCAACCCGGCTCTGGTTTTCCCAAAGCATGTTGATCAGAGCTGAGGGGATTTTTAACGCGGGTCGCTTGTCGTGTCCTTTGACCCGGGTCGACACTCGTCAGCGAACTGTTCCCACAGGTTATCCATGTTCTCTAAACTATGGAGGCAATTTTGTTCCATTAATGTTGCAAGCAAACAGCCAGTTTTATACATATACATTTCAAGCAAAGAAAACTTACATTTTAGGATAGGAATAAAAAAAAAAAATACAATTGAGAAATAAAACCTTGAGAAATAAAAAGGTTTTTAAGATTATTTTTTTCTTTATTTTTGATAAAGAAGGAAAAAAAAATCAGATTTAATTTAAATGTTTCTTTTTTCTCTCCAGATTTTACATTTGCAAAACATCGTCCTTAGTTGTAACAATAAGGGAACATATTTCTCTTCACAGTGAAGATGATTAAAAAGGTTTAGTGTTGTTGGAAAAAGACTTTTCAATTTATTTTCCTCCAACATATATATTTTTTTCATTTATGTTTCTCATACTAAATGCTATTTTGTCTGTAGAATAAGTTTAAAATAATTCAAATTTGGCTTTTTAACAGTTTTGCACACATCAACAAAAACCTCAATTGTTTTGGCCTGTTTTGTTGATTCGACGTAATAACTTTATCCTCTTGGAGTATTTTTAAGAAGGAAATGTACTAAACAATTAACTAATAATGGTGGGATATTTCTGATTGAACAAAACACTCATCAAGCCAAATGTTGGTAAAGTCAAAATGTTTTGTAGATCCAATTACCCAGAAATTCAGAATGAATGTGTTTTAAAATTGTTTGTTCAGTATTACAGTACGCCTGCTATTCTTCCTTAAAATCAGTCACAAGTTGGTAGGCCTGTCACGATAATCAATAAATCAATTAATCGCACGATAAATAAAAACTATCAACGTCATTTAATTTATTGGCTATATCGTCTCTGCTTGTGTTTTTCTCTTTTTATTGATGACACATCTTATGTTAGGGTGGAAAAGCTCGAAATGGAACTGGTTTCAACTAGGGATGCACGATATAATTGGCCTCCTATCGGTATCGGCCTTAAAACTGAATATCGGACATCGGACACCCCACTGATATTTAACCCGATATTTGATCAGCTTCTGAGTTTCTAAAGCCTAAAAAAATAAATATTACTTCTTCCTCAAAAACTTATTTTTTTACAGACTTAAAAACTTCTAAAGACAAGGGAAAAAATATTGATACATTAAAATATCCCAATATCTTCATATGCTGATATACCATATAACAGAACGATTAAATTTCACGAGATTTTGAAAGTAAAATAGATCGATACCGCGTTTTTAAAAATCGATTTGATATCAGCATATGAAAATATATTTGAGTTTATTATTTTTCAAAGTGTCAGAAATGGATAACAAAACTGCTATTTTCAATGACTACTTATTTTTGTCCAGCTTTAACATCAGTATCGATATCGGTTATCGGCTACATGAGTTTTAAAATATCGGCATATCGGATATCGGCCAAAATCCCAATATCGTGCATCCCTAGTTTCAACAGCCGCAGTGTGGGAATATTTCGGATTCAAACCAAATGACCGAGGCGAACCGCTGAACCTATGCGAGCCAGTATGTCGTATTTGTCATAAAACAGTAGCAACTAAGAGCAGCAATACAACCAACCTACACATGCACCTAAAGCACAACAACCCAATGAAGTTTCTCCAGCTGGGGACAAAAAGTACAAGCGGTGGCCCGCCTGCATCTTCCAGTTCGCGACAGTCCACCATCACTGAAGCAATTAATTCACAGGCAGCATACAAAAAGGACTGTGCAAAGTGGCGCACGCTCACAGACAACGTAGTTCATTTAATTGCTAAAGAGATGCTTTCATTTAATATTGTTGAAAAGCCACAACAGACTTCATTATCTGTACTCTTTTGGTTGAATGTAGTTTTTATTTCCACTGTGGTTTTCTCTTGTGTTTAGTTTTTAAAGTGTATCTTTAGTTAACAGAGACTGAGAGTCCGTTTGATTGTTATTTCTCGTTTTATTTTGTTAACCAGTTGCAGCGTTCTGATGAAAATAAAGTGTGTTTATCTTTGGCAGGAAATCACATGCATTATTACTTCATTTCCATTAAATCAGAGTAAAGAGGTCTTCAAACAATATTATCGTTTATCGCAATAATTTTTGAGACAATTAATCGTTCAGCAAAATTTGTTATCGTGACAGGCCTACATGTTGCTCACCTCCTTATTTTTGATTTTGTTTGGTTGCTGCTGTTTGCCTGCTGCCAGATATGAAGGTTGTGTTGTGATGCCTCTTTATTTCCTTTTTTACTGTTAATGATGGACAGAGTTGTTTTTTTTTCTGAATGTGATCAGAAATGAGACACGATTTTGTCGTGCAGGTGATGAGCTCGACCAACGGAGAGCTGAACACGGACGACCCTACGGCCGGACATTCGAACGCACCAATCACAGCCAATGCAGAGGTCGAGGTCCCCGACGATATAAAGTAAGAACTAACACAAATAACCGAATGTTTTGTTTCTTTGAATGTAAGCAAACATTTATATATATTGATGAATCCATCCTACTATCAATGGATTTTAATCATTCCAATTTATAGTAAATAAAGCTCCACAAAAATTAGCCTTCTGGGACGCTAACGTGTTGCTTTAAAGAATATTACAAAACGTTTTTAAAAAAAAACAATCCACTGGACTTTGTTTCCACGTTTGAAGATGTTTAGCTTCCCATCCAGGAAGCTTTTTCAATTCAAAATGTCAGAAATAACGTTGAGTTCAAGGTTTTATAAAGTGGACCAAAAATAAAGCCTTGCTTTGGCTTAGAAAAAAAGCAAATTGAACCAGATGACGGTGTCTACCCCTTTGGAATGGGGGTCGTTTGGCTTCTCTTGTTTGCCTGCAATAACCGACACCTGTCTATGTTTCTGAAAGGGATTTCCTGGCCTGGCTGAACAGGCGAGATGTTCTGTTCCCCTGTAAGGGGGAGGGGATTGCAATGGTAGCAGGAAGGAATCAACTCAATCGCTGAATTAAACGTATATTAATAATTTAAAGAACACAATCAAATAAAATGATTCATGTATAATTACAATCTTTGTGAAGCTTGTCTTCCGTATAACATAGAAACTGGAAGCATTTAAGTAAATAAAAGTTCTTTAATCTGAGTCAAACTAGGCCATACATCACATTGCTTTGTTTACATTTAGCGGTCTTAATGAACCTCGGAGGAAAGACAAAACAGCTTTCTAGCAACATATGAAAAAACAAACTGTTCTGAAATTTAAAATCCATCTTCATTTTTTATCTTTTTTTTAACAAAATTATCCACATAATGGTTTAAATGTGAGGGAGTCTTCCATCAAAATGCCCAGATTTGTACTTGAGTGAACCAGCAGAATTTTCTTTGCTCCACAAAAGAACAGTGAGGGCGTCCTGGATGGGAAAAATATATTACCGTATTTTCTGGATTATAAGTCGCTCTGCAGAATAAGTAGCTCCAGCCATAAAATACATAATAAAGAAAGAAAAGACATATACACTCACCGGCCACTTTATTAGGTACCCCATGCTAGTAACGGGTTGGACCCCCTTTTGCCTTCAGAACTGCCTCAATTCTTGGTGGCATAGATTCAACAAGGTGCTGGAAGCATTCCTCAGGGAGTTTGGTCCATATTGACATGATGGCATCACACAGTTGCCGCAGATTTGTCGGCTGCACATCCATGATGGGAATCTCCCGTTCCACCACATCCCAAAGATGCTCTATTGGATTGAGATCTGGTGACTGTGGAGGCCATTTGAGGACAGTGAACTCATTGTCATGTTCAAGAAACCAGTCTGAGATGATTCCAGCTTTATGACATGGCGCATTTTCCTGCTGAAAGTAGCCATCAGAAGTTGGGTACATTGTGGTCATAAAGGGATGGACATGGTCAGCAACAATACTCAGGTAGGCTGTGGCGTTGCAACGATGCTCAATTGGTACCAAGGGGCCCAAAGAGTGCCAAGAAAATATTCCCCACACCATGACACCACCACCACCAGCCTGAACCGTTGATACAAGGCAGGATGGATCCATGCTTTCATGTTGTAGACGCCAAATTCTGACCCTACCATCCAAATGTCGCAGCAGAAATCGAGACTCATCAGACCAGGCAACGTTTTTCCAATCTTCTATTGTCCGATTTCGATGAGCTTGTGCAAATTGTAGCCTCAGTTTCCTGTTCTTAGCTGAAAGGAGTGGCACCCGGTGTGGTCTTCTGCTGCTGTAGCCCATCTGCCTCAAAGTTCGACGTACTGTGCGTTCAGAGATGCTCTTCTGCCCACCTTGGTTGTAACGGGTGGTTATTTGAGTCACTGTTGCTCTTCTATCAGCTCGAACCAGTCTGGCCATTCTCCTCTGACCTCTGGCATCAACAAGGCATTTCCGCCCACAGAACTGCCGCTCACTGGATGTTTTTTCTTTTTCGGACCATTCTCTGTAAACCCTAGAGATGGTTGTGCGTGAAAATCCCAGTAGATCAGCAGTTTCTGAAATACTCAGACCAGCCCTTCTGGCACCAACAATCATGCCACATTCAAAGTCACTCAAATCACCTTTCTTCCACATACTGATGCTCGGTTTGAACTGCAGGAGATTGTCTTGACCATGTCTACATGCCTAAAAGCACTGAGTTGACGCCATGTGATTGGCTGCTTAGAAATTAAGTGTTAACGAGCAGTCGGACAGGTGTACCTAATAAAGTGGCCGGTGAGTGTATGTCACATTGAAGTATAAGTTGCATTTTGGGGGGAAATTTATTTGATAAAATCCAACACCAAGAACACGTTATCTGCGTGTCATTTTTAAACAACTCCGCTAACTCCAACCTTTCTTTCTGCTGCTCGATTTTCCGCTGCATATTTTTCTCCTTGCAGAATATGATTTTCTTTTGGGTGCCATTTTTCTTAAGCCCTTCTCAGTTGTTTTTATAAGGTAATGCCAATGTTGAAATTATCCACACAGGCGGTTTAGTGTGAAACTAACATGTAAAATTATATAATAATGCGTTAATAATTTCACACATAAGTCGCACCCCTGGCCAAACTATGAAAAAAAAACTGACTTATAGTCCGGAAAATAAGGAAGTTTATTTTTATCAGCAATAAGAACAAGTTTCAAATGCTTTCAGATAGAATTCAATGGCCTCAGTAGAAAAGCTGTCATTTGCTTAAAAATGCAGATTTTATTTGTCCAAATTCATGCTATAAACTATAAATAGCAAGTTATATTGACCCCTTTGGCGCCCCCCTTGTGGACAGCCACAGCTCCAGAACAAATACCATCATTATGGAAGCAAATCGTTACCATATTTAAAATGAAAACGCATTTTCAGAAATGCTTTTTCATTGTAAGAATGTGGCTGAGGAAGAGCGGCTGCTGACGTCACTCTGCTGCGCCCGCCACTCAGAATGCTTTTTCGTTTTCGAGTTATGGACAGTTATGGTCAGGCAGACCATGAAAAAGAAAAAGCAATGTCTGCTGTGTTTTCTCTTTGATTATGGCATAAATTGTGCAGTGTTAAAGAAGAAAATGTAAATAGGATGATTGATTACTAATTTAATTTATTAGTCAAATAATGCAGCCACATTCTTAAAATTAAAAAGCATTTCTGAAAATGCTTTTTCATTTTCAAATTTTACATTTCAAATTGAATTTTGGTATGTATTTGCTGGGGTACATTTTGAAAAATAAATCATTTCTTAAAATCTTTTTCATTTTAAATATGGTAACGATTTGCTTCCATACATCATAGCTAATACATCGTTTTATTTCCTTCTACCCTTCGCTTTAAACTAAACCCATAAAAGTTTTATTGCTTGCTTTGAATAAATCAGCAGCTGTCATGAAATCCCTGTTTTTTTTTTCTTTTATAGATGCTGCTGTTTCTTCAAAAGGAGGAAGAGGAAAGCTCTCCAGAAACACAAGTGAAGAGACCAGAGAAAAACCTTTTGCGCTCTTCTTTATTTTTTTCTCTTTATTTCTCTGAAGCCATTTTCCTTGAACTCTTTCTCCTTTTCTTTATCTGCTAGTTTCTGCGCCGGTTTGTATATTTAAACCGTGAAATTGTTATTTTTTTTGTTTTGTTTTTCATTTCACCGCAGAATTTCAAATGTGCCGCCTGCTCCAGCGGTGCTCTCGGTATTTATGGCTGCAGATACAACAGTGGAGTAGTTAACAGACTGGATTCAGCTATTTACCAGAAGACTGACTGATTATTTTTTGTGCTCTTCCTTACTGACTGGATCAGAAGACGAAGTGTATTTCAGGAGATGCAAGCGAAGCAGACTTCCTACAGCATGGAAGCGGAGCCTGTCGGACCATGCGTGCAAACGACATGCACAAAGAATTCACGCTGCACATTTTGTTGAGCTCACAAAGAGACTCGATGGACAGAGATGCAGTTCTTGCACATAGTTTTTATTCCTTGGTGTCAAAGGAGTTGCTCGGTACCGGACCCGGGCCCAGATCGTATAATGGACCGGGATTGGTGTATTTCTCATTAACCATCTGAGAGAAACACTCCCACCCACCAGAAAACTCAAAACTTAAAGATGTTTATGTAAAATTTATGCTTTACTCTGAATTTGAGTTGTAACTAAAATAAGACTGTTCTCTTTTCAGTTTTTTGTTTTTTTCTCTCTTCTGAGTTGTTAAAGTTTGTTTTGTAGCTTCTTAGTGTGATCCTCAGAATGTATTTTTTTTAAATAACCTTTGAAATTTTTTGTTTCGGTTTTCCCTCTTTCTTTTTAGGTTGAAGGGTGGAAAGTTGGATAATGCCATTAAAAACAATGAAACAAAACACAAAGATATCTTTTATTGAAGTGACATGTCAGTAGCTGAAATAACTGCCCACTCAGAGCGGTAATTATGCAAAAAAAAAAAATATAGAGAGAGATATTTTATCCCTGAATATGTACTCTTCTATCCATAACTCATCAGCCGTAGTTCTACCTTCACTTGGTTCAAATTCTGTATAAACTTTAAGGTACTTTTTGCTATTTGATTAATAAGCAAATGATTAATTGACAGATCAATCCATTTAACAAAAATAATCTATAGTTACAGCCCAGATGGCAGCTTTCAGAGATATCTCAGATTCCATTCAATTTCTATATCTAGATGTAGGAATGATCAATTAAAGTAGATGTCTTCAATGTTTTCCAGGCAAAGGACCCCCAAACTGATGGTTAGATGGAGCGGGGACCCCCTAATTATATGTGTTGTATTAAATTATATTAAACTGGTCCTACAGTCACACTATTACAAATGGAGTAATGTAACTAAAGTAATTTCTCCCTGGGATTATTAAAGTATTTCTGATTCCTGGTTGATGGGACAGGTGTTGTGAATGAAACGGTGCCCAGCTTGAAAGAGCTCCTGTGTGTCGCTGAATGTGTGCATTGATGACTGAAAGACATCTTCTGCCTCCATTTATCTGTTTACTACAGTCTGTTGAATTCATCTTAATGTTTATTTAAAGACATTTCAATTAGCGGAAGAAATTGCAGGGAGGGAATATAAAAAAAAATAAATCAACCAAAACTTTGGCGTCCCTTATGCAGTACCTCTGTGGATCCTCTAGGGGTCGCAGACCCCCTGTTGAAGACCTCTGAATTAAAGCATAAAATATATATTTTTTTAACTTTCTGGATTAATTGAAAAAAGTAAAACACTGTTCTGATCAATGGAAAATGCGTCAGAATGTTCTTGGTTATAAATTTACTGAACTACGATCCTGAACCGCACAGCATTCTGGGGGATGTAGGCAGAGGAAAGAATTGTGCTTCTTGCAGCTAAACTAAACTAAAAAAAAAAAGTTAACTGATTTTTACATTTTATTTCAGTTTAGTATGGGAAAAAAGTCAGAATTCTGACTTTAACCTCAGAAAATTTGACTTTTTTCTCAGAATTCTGACTTTTTCTCAGAATTCGAACTGAATTCTGGCAATAAAAAAGTCAGAATTCTGAGATTAAAGTCAGACTTTGACTTTTTTCTCAGAATTCTGACTTTAACCTCAGAAAATTTGACTTTTTTCTCAGAATTCTGACTTTAACCTCAGAAAATTTGACTTTTTTCTCAGAATTCTGACTTTAACCTCAGAAAATTTGACTTTTTTCTCAGAATTCTGACTTTAACCTCAGAAAATTTGACTTTTTTCTCAGAATTCTGACTTTTTTTATTGTTAGAATTCAGTTCGAATTCTGAGAAAAAAAGTCAGAATTCTGAGAAAAAAGTCAAATTTTCTGAGGTTAAAGTCAGAATTCTGAGAAAAAAGTCAAAGTCTGACTTTAATCTCAGAATTCAATCCCATTATTTAAATCTGGCAATTTTCCAGTTTAGTTCTGACATGCGGCTGAAGCATCTTTGCTGCTCTGGCTGATCGGTTTAAAAGTGGGTCTGATGTACGTTGGGCGGAGCTACCCTATCCTTTCTTTGCCTGTAAAATTTGCAGCTATATATGCTGTGATCAGTGGGTAAAAAGTAGTTTTAATGTTTTTAAGTGAGAAAGTCCACCTGTTCATCCAGATTGCTCTGTTGGAGAAATTTCTCAAGAATTTTAGATAAGAAAGGAAGATTGGATATAGGTCTATAATTGACCAAGTCATCTGGGTCAAGAAACGGTTTCTTAAGTAAAGGTTTAATTACACCAACCTTAAAAGCCTTTTGTTACTGTTAGGTTTATGCTTTATACATCATGTGCATTGTTACTTTGTTAGCCGGATTAGAGAGAGTAGAAGGCCTTCCTTCACATTGTGGATGTCACTGTGTGTACGGAGATCATCTAATCAGGACAGCCTTTGTGTCTTTAAAAATACACAGGATATGGGAACATCTTGGAGCCGGTCTGATAGAGGAGAGCTATCTGTAACCCTGAGGCATGGATGGCGTGTCAGTTTCTGATACGGACAACTAAGCATCCACCTGGTGCAACACATAGACTCATGAGCTATAAGAATAAATAAAAGTATTTTATATAAATACATAGTAAAGTCAATATATTCATTTGAATATCTGTATTTTTAAATGAAATTAGATTTTTCAATTAAGAATTTTTTTATGTATTTTTAATTATTTAATGGGTTATTACCATTTATGTATATATTAATATATATATTAAATAAGAGTTTCCCCAGGAGGAGACACCAAGTGAAGGGTCACAACATGTTGTTTTGTTTTTTATTTTACAGTAATGTGAGATATATGGAAGGCTAAAACATATTGTGATTTACATAAATATACCATGAAATAGGTAAGGCAAGGCAAGGCAAATTTATTTGTATAGCACAATTCAGTACAAAGACAATGCAAAGTGCTTTACATGATTAAAATACAGGAAGATAAAACAGAATCAAAGCAAGTAGGAAAAAAATAAATAAATAAATATATAGGTAGATGTTACATTTACTATCTAATAAATGACTTCAAGATTAAATGAACAATTAGATAATTGTAAATCCGTTTCAAATTATGAATTAACCAATTAAGAAAATAGATTTATTAAAAAATGAATACTTCACTTTATTTTTATATTAGTAATTCTATGTATTTTTAGGGGTTTTCAGTCAGCTGCATTTTTATTTTTGGGGTCATAGGCTGAAACGTTTGGGAACCTCCGTATGAGATAAAGAATTATGGTGACATCTGCTCATTTCATGGTACATTTATGTATTTGGCTCTTTTTTTTGTTATATCACGATGGTTTTGATATTACAAATACAAAAAAATCTGAGAAAACAGAAAAGTTTCAAAATCGTGTCAATCTTTTTTTTTTATGTTTTTCATCAACCTTTTTTGATTGAAAAGTTTTTCAAAGTTTTATTCTAGGATTGGATTTTTTTATTAATTTTTTATTTTTTTTTTGGTAGCTGGAATGCTTTGTAGCATAGCATGGAAACAATCTTCTGATCCTGAATATGAACAAAACAAGGAGATGATTGTAAATTTCAGAAGAAATGGGAACAAGATGAATAATTTTAACATGACGGGAGAAGAAGTGGAGGGGGCCGAGGAGTATAAATACCTTGGTGTTCACCTGGACTTTGAACTGCACTGGAATTTCCATTTGGGTTTACATTGAATAAAATGCATTGAATAAAAATTTAACCATCAGCTGTTTTTAAAAAAAACGTCTGTCTGGTTTTTAGGTCTATTTTTCATGTTCATCAGGATAGAACCATCAGTAACAGTTATGGTGTCTGTTTGGCAGGAAACGGATGGTACATAATCAAACAGCTTTTATTATTTTATTTTATTTCTTTTATCTCTATGTATTTCTTTTTAATGCTTTTTTAAATGCTTTTTTGTAGCACTTTGAGGCCTTTTTGGTGAAAAGTGCATTATAAATTAAATGAATTATTATTATTATTATAAACAATAACTATTTAGCTGGCAAATGGAAATAAACCAGTTTTTCATGTGAGATGATTTTATTGTCAGAATTCTGAGATTAAAGTCAGAATTCTGAGAAAAAAGTCAGAATTCTGACTTTAATCTCAGAATTCTGAGAAAAAAGTCAGAATTCTGAGATTAAAGTCAGAATTCTGACTTCTTTCCCATGTTAAACTGAAATAAAATTTAAAAATCACTTTTTTTTTTTTTCAGTGGCCCTAATCCTCTTCCGTATCAGGGTATTGGTACCACATTGCTAAAAAACCTCTGTAAGGTCCCAGATATTAGAAAATATGTTAATATTGTTTTATGTATTCAATAATTAAATGTCTCCATTTTACCCAATGTTGATATGGATTTAACTAAGAAAATCTGGCCTCTATGTGATTGCTATTATTGTATTAAATATATAAGTTTCTTTTTTTGTTTAAAGCTAGTGTGTAACTTTTAGCGACATCTAACGTCCAGACTGCAGACCGCAGCAACATGAACATCTCCCCCCCACTGCTTCTCCCCCCCAACAGTACGGCGAGCGTTACGGGACAAAATGTCTTCCACGACGTCCGCATCACCTACCTTCTCAAGTGATGAGGTTTGTTTACATAGATAATTTTACAGATAGTATTTCATTAGTCTGTGTAGGGTATAGATTTCATGTAGACTTAAGATAATAAATATACCCGTTATTTTTTCTACATCGTTGTGACATTTTGGCGATCTCGCAATCGCTAGTTTGTTGGCTCTGCGCTGCCGTAGCACAAAGATGTCTGCCTCCATGGCTGCGAGACCCGCTCCTATGTAATTATAAATAACGAATTCTAAGGTAACGCAAATATTAAGGTTAAGAGGCTGAGCTCGTAGATGATGATAAATAACATAGTTATGTATAATATATTACATTTCTGACTGTATATCCCTGTAATTATTACACACTGTAGCTTTAAAAATAAATGAAGAAAACATTTAGCCTTGTCACAGTCTATTAAAAAAAGATAATTAAATATTAACATTCTTAGTTTTAATCAGATCGTTTTAAATTCAGGTTATTTTACTTCAATCCCACAACTCTTTGCAAATACCATGTGTATTTCGTTGAAATGGACAGTTGTTTTTGTTTTTTAAACAAGGACTTCATCACTATATATATATATATATATATATATATATATATATATATATATATATATATATAATTTTTTTTTCTAATAAACTTTATTAGAAAATGCTTTATAATACAGAAAGAAGTACAAATTCAAGGGAACAATCGCCAGGGGTTTGAACAAAAAGTAATAAATAAATAAAAAGTAAAAATAGCCAAAGTAAATAGATGCATGTAAAGGGGTAAAATTTAGAGCATAAAGATAAAGTTTTAACAGCCTTTTCGGTTTTTTAAGAGGACAATGTAGAAA